CTCTCTTTTGTTCTTCATTTTCCAGCACCCTAACCTCCATTTTAGCCACCAAACCTCCCCAAAACTCATACCATTCTTCTCCTTTCTTCATTTTCGTTCCATCCCTTCTATTTTCACAAGGATTGAAGCTCATTTTCATCATTCAAGAGCTATGGAGTTTGGCCTTCACAAGCAATCACTTGGGTTCTTGAAGATGAAGATTGGCTAAGTTTCTTTGTGGAATCCTAGAGAGATGAAGATGGAGGATGAGTCTTGAGCTTCAAATTGGCTAAGTTCTTTTGTTTCCTATCCTCTTCTCTTTTTACTAGATGGTTAGATTCCTTAATCTAGGGTTTAATCATCTTAGCTTATAAATTCTAATTTGAATTTGATGTTGATGTAAAGAGAGAGGATTGTTTCATTTAATTTCTTCCTTGGACAGCCATGACTGAATTTTGCCACTCTTTGTTTGGCACATAATCTTGTGTTTTTCAATTAGTGAATTTCTTGTGTTAATATTGCATAATCTTGTGGTGTTAATGCTTGTGTTGTTGAGTAGCTTGACATAATCTTGTGGTTGCTCAATTTATGTGTTTGACCATGGCTGTTGAGAGAGGATTTTGAGTGAATCACTTGGCTAATGTCTTCACCAATTGATTAATTAAACTAGGGACTTTAATCTAAGACCTAGGGAGGTTAGCTAATTAGGTTAATTGGCTTAGGATAATTTTCTTAAGTCATGACAGCTTTAGTCAAGAGGAAAGGGAAGCTAAACTTAGCCTAATCATGAGAAGATAATGAGTCCAAAATCAACTAATCTCTAGGGTTCCATTATTGTAAAAAGGGAAGTTCATTTCACTCACTTTCACTAGCATTTTAATTACTTGCATATTAGGTAATTAGTTTAGATAATTAGCTAGATAACTAAATTCCTACAAACTTTGGTTGATTTATTTCACTAGATAACTTTCAATTAGACTTAAAACCATTCCTTGGGAGATGACCTAGGGTTGGCCCTATATTGCATTAGGGTTAGCTTTAGTATAATTTTGAGGATAAGCGACTAATTTCCTATCAGCAGGGTAAGGGAAGAGAGTTTGGACTAGCTTGAGTTGTGAAGCCGTGTACACTCAAAGTTGTGTAATGAACTGAATTAAGAATTTATGCATATATTTATATATGAGTTTTCATATGGTTGCATGCATGTTTTGAGTAATGGATTTGTGAAATTGTAGCCTGATTGTGTATGTTTGTGGTGATTTGAATTTAGGGGCTATGATTTGGTCATGTTTATTGTGATTGATGGTGAATCTTATGCCCAAGTAAGAAATTATAATGAAACGAGTAATTTGAGGCTAAGATTGTAATGTGAATGTGAATGTATATGAATGTGATTAGAAATATTCAAGTAGGCTAAGTTATGCCAAAAAATGGCAAGTCATGCAAGTTTGTGAAAATGTGAAAATTGGCCATAAAAGGGTCAAACTTCAATATATGTGTATGATTGTGATAGATTGAGGTCAATCAGGTGTATTAGATCCTTTTGGACTTGATTCAAGGCCTAAACTGGTATAATGAGAGAAAGGGATCGATTTGAGTGCTTAGGTGTGCAAATTTTTTCGAAAAAGTGACTTTTTACACTTGGGTGTTGAAAATTTGATCAGATTGTTAGATTGTGTCCAAACTTATCTCATTAACTAGCTTACAAGCTAAGTTTTATGTGGGCATTTGAATTACTCCGATCGAACATCATATATGAAAATGGTGCACGCCAGAAGTTCATCATTTTTGTTGTCAAAATGATAGCAGAATTTCGAACAAGTGCGCCACGGCGCATGGTGACACATGCCACGGCACGTGACACAAAACAAGCTGAGCATGTGGCTTTGTGCCACATGTCGTGGTGCACGTATTGCATGCCGTGGCACACGGATCAAATCCCAACTTTATTTTGTGATGAAAGGCATGTAATTGAGAAGGGAATGCGTATGGGTTTTGTCTACTATGTGTTAAATGAGTATATGACTTTCTTCTGCTGTGTATGATTTTATAAAATATATCTTTAGTCAAAGCTTTTCAAATGAGATTTAATTATTGTAATTGACGTGTTAATGTGGTAACACTGTTAGTCTTTTCCTATATGGAGGATATAGAAGGAGGTTACACAATGCACACTAGAAGTTGGACTTCCTGAGCTGTCATGACCCCTTGTGTTGTTATGACTACATTGTGCACTATGGCACATGACAAAGAGGGGAGCTTCTCCCTCTGTGTTATCCATTGTGATAGACAGGTCAAAACCTTAGAAAAAATTGCTATTTGCCCCAGTTCTAATTTATTGTCCCTAATTTAGTCCTTCTACTTCCTGATTATGTTTAACTCTAATTTTAAACTTATGTTGAGCTCAACTAATGCTTTCAAATGTTTCTTGGGATCCCAATTTTTTTAAAATATATTTTCTTTATTTCTCATGATTGGATTGAAGGTGTGTTGTTGTCTTAGTAATGCAAAGACGGGCATTATACCTAATAGGTGGCTTGTATTGGCTTGGGATAGTCTACCATTGGCTGGTTGATCTAGCACTAAGTAAGGGAACTAGCTTGAGGACAAAGAGGGGAAATAAGGGTGATTGTTTGTCATGTAATATAGTATCTCTTATATCTATTTAAAATGTATTATTTTTTTTTTCATTTAGCAAACTCACATATAAAATGGTTTGCATATATTATGATAAATTAGCATTAGTTATTGAAACTTTTGAATTTCATCCATGTGGTTGACAATTTTTAGAAGAGCCAAGTGTAGTATGCAAAGAAGCCTTGAGGCTTGGTAGTGCGGATACACTACCTTTTGGGTATTGATTTATAATTTTAATGATATGAAATGTTGCCAATGCTAAGACTTTTGTTATTTGATAATTATGTAAATTCATTGTGGTGATCATACCTTTCAAACTATTACTATTGTGGTATACTTTTGCATGATTGTAAATTGTGAATTATGATTTATGTGGGATGGTTTGAAATGGCATCATTATAGAGCCATATGTTTACCTTGTTTTGAAAGTGATTAAATTATCTATTTTGGTTGATGGCTTTGGTAAGCATTTGCTGGGAGCATATATAAGGTTGGGAAAAATGACATTTTGGCCTAATGACATGTGGGAGGATAAACTTTTAATTGAGATACTGTGTTGCATAAACTATCAAGACCAACTATTAAATGATATTATATTAAGTTTCTTTTATATATATTGTGTTGAGTGGCTATAACCTAATTATAATTTTAATTGTGCATAAGTAGCAAAAGGAATGATTATACATTAATTGGAATGTTTGTAAAATAGTCAAAAATTTTTAAATGCATAACAACTTGTAAATTCCTATTTATTTTTGTCTCCTATGGTTTTAACTTATATGAAATCATATGAGCTTTTCACATTTATTTTTGTTTTTGAATGCTTGAGATCTCAAATTTTAAAATTGACTATTTAATAAGTTAAATTTTATTTACTATGGTCGTTTTTATTTATTTAGTTTTTGCTTTCTATCATAGTAGAATCTTTTCTACCATGATAATTGTTTAAAAAGGAAAGTGATTTCAATTTTTTTCCTACCATGATCATTTTTAAAAAGGTAGAAAGTAGACAAATCCATTATCTTATCGCTATTAGTTTTTTTTAAAAAATAAATAAAGATTTTTTAATTAATATTTTTTTAATAATATTGCTTACTCCCTCGGTTTTATTAACGGGACACTTTTTCATCAGAACTAAAGAGGTGTGCAGAAAACATATTAATATGTTTAAAAACTAACAAAATTTTCAAATTTACATAATTATTGCATGAATAAGAAGATGATGTGCACAATAGAAAAACATCAAACAAATATATTGAATGAGAGAAAAATAAAAAGATGTGTAATAAATAGTTCAAAAAAATTAATATGCAGTTCCTTACATTTTTTATTAACTTTGAACTAAGTTCTTATAATTTATTTTATTTGAATTGGATCAATATCATAGTTTGATCTGTAACATATGTTAATCTCTAAATATTAAAACCTTAATTTTTTTCTTGAAAAAATGAAATTATGAACTTTTATATTTTTATTAGAAGAGTATATAACTTTAAAATTAATTAAATAATTTTTATAATTAAAAATTTATACAATTAAGTTATGTTTTCTAAATAATTTATATACATATATATAGAACTTTATAAGAATTAATAAAAATTTAAGCATTAAATTAAATCAAATTTTCTATAAAATTCAATTTTTTTGTTTAAGGGAAAATTAATTATTCATTAATACTTTTAATTGTCAATGATTAGCATGTCTAATATACCAAATTATAATATTAAAATAAAATAAAATAAAATAAATTATAGGGACCTAATTTAAAATTAAAAAACTATAAAGACCTGCAAATTAATTTTTGTTATCAAAAATAGTTTATTTGGTGCCCTTAAAAAAGGATTAATATTTTACCCCTAAGATACTAATGAATATAAGATTGGAGGGAGAGGGAGTTTTGCATAAGCTTAAATTTTTTTTAGATAGAGTTTGAATTAATGGATTTAAATTTAAATTTTAAATTTTAAATATTTTATTTATACTCTCATTTAAAATTTATATATTTAAAATAATTTTTTTTTGAATAATGTAATTTTTTTTTAAAATAAAAGAAAGAAAAGCTAAAATTTGAAGAAAAAAAGGAAGATTGAGAAGTGAGAGTAACAGAGACAATGAAAGTGAAAACGTAAAGGAAATGTAATGGTCAGAGCAGCTATAATTTTAAATACCTAAAATTTTAAAAAAATTATAATAGAATTTAAAATTGTAAAACAATTATTATTGCATCACAATATCACGTGACGATCGTCATGACTATGCAACTAGAATCAATCAGTATAGAACACGTGGGTCAAATTAAAAAATCAACAATGGGACCAAATTCAAAGAATACTGGTACAGTGGAACTCAGCTGGCAGTCGCAAAAGCAAGTGGTAACTGCGGAGGCTAACTGTCAACAATCCAACCATTTCCGTGTCCGTGTCCATGTCGTGGCCAAACCCAGAAGTGGGCCCCACTGATCTCTACCTTAACGCAAACTATGAAAAACTCCTCACTTCCCTCCCACTCTCTCGACCACCACCGCAACTCAACCCTCACCTGCTCATTACTTTCTCACATCTTATCCAAATCTGATGGATTTTTTCAGACAAGACACATCCGATGCTTCTTCTTCAGAGGGAAGCTCGTTGAGCGGCGACGAGCAGATGTTGTTATTGGCGTCGGAGAGACCCAAGAAGCGAGCGGGACGGAGGGTTTTCAGGGAGACGAGGCATTCCGTGTACAGAGGAGTGCGACGGAGGCACAACGACAAGTGGGTTTGCGAGGTTCGTGTGCCGAATGATAAGACGAGGATTCGGCTTGGAACATATTCCACGGCGGAGATGGTCGCTCGTGCTCATGACGTGGCGGCGCTAGCTCTTCGTGGGAAGTCGGCTTGCCTTAATTTCGCCGACTGGTCTTGGCGTTTGCCTCTGCCAGAATCAACCAATGCGGCGGAGATTAGGCGAGTGGCCGCTCTCACTGCTCAGGAATTCGGTCGGAGTAGTAGTGCTGATGATGTTGAATTTTGCATCAGTTGCAGCAGTGCGACGGTTGACGACGAAACCATCGTAGATGCGTCGCCGTGGAATGCCATGCAGGATTACTGTGAAGAAGAAGCGATATACATGCATCAAACTCCGGCGGCGTCAACGGAGTTTGACGAGCTCCGTCATTTGTTGATGAGCATGGCGGAGTAGCCTCTCCGATCGCCACCCTCTTTTAGACCATATGGTTGGAGCTGGAATGACGTGGAGATTGAAACTGAGGTCTCACTGTGGCAGTATTGAGAGCTCGAGGCGTTGCTCGTTCGACTTACTGTAACATGTTAGCTTGTGACACGCGCATACATGTCTCTTGATTTTCATTATTATCTTGATTTTTCTTTTTTTAAAAAGGGACAAAAGTTATTTGTTTTTTACTCCCTAGTGACGAACTCACAAAAATTAATTTGGGGCGACAAAATTTGCACATAAGATCATTAAGGTTGTCGAATTGGAGAGTTTAAGTAAATTCATTACAGAGATATAAATTTAAAACATAAACTCATAAAAATTTATATCTATTAATAAATAGTCTTTGAAAGTATATAATAAAATAATTAAAATATAAAATATTATCATAATTTAATTTAAATATATTTTAAATATATATTCCTGAAATTAAATTCATCTACATTTATAGATTATTATACTCAATACAAATATTTCAAAATATATAGGGCAACTTCTTTTTTTTGTATTTTTCTTGTTTTTTAATATTATTTTTTGTTTTTATTTTTTCATTAAACCGGTTCTATAGTTTCTTTGAATCAAGTTTTACATAGTATATACCTATCTGCTCAATGAGTTTATGAGTAGATTTACATGATTTTATGAGCTAAAAATGTAAAAATGATAAACTCAAAAAGTTAACTCATGAGTTTAATCAAATTTTATGTAGTCCAAGTTCATGAGTGAGTTAATACAATTTTGGAAGTTAGCTAGCAATATAAAAGCGATTAACTTGAAGAGTCAATTTGAAAATTTGACAATAATGCATAAGATAAACATCAATATCATTAGTAAATTAATTATAATTTTTATTAAATGTAAAATTTATTAAAATTAAATGCTAATATAGAACTATACATAAAATATAACATTATAATAACATAATATATATATATATATATATATTTGATTTCTGTTCTTTATTTAACTAATAAAACTTAATTTTTTTAAGTTTTGACCAATAAAAGTGGGTTCAATTGATGATTTAGCCCATAATCTGATTTGACTTACCTCAATTTTTTTGTGTTAAAATTTTTTTAACTCTTTTGTATAGTATACATTTTTTGTGATAAATTTTTCAATTTAAACAATCAAAGAAAATTATTTTCTAAACTATTTCTCCCTTCCTTTTAAAACTCTTGCTATTTGAGGTTAATAAAAACACACAAATAAGATTTTGGTTAAATAAAATTTATTTGTTATGAGGCACATGAATTTTCACTTTTTTTAGGGTGCGCGGACAGCTGAAATTTTTAAATGAGGGCAAATCAAAAGTTTAGAATAACTACATGTATTTCTTTTTGGTCTTGTAGGGGCAATTGCCTCATCTATCTTACAAATAGGTTTGTCCCTGCTCCGTCCAATCCTTCTTGTTAGTTGTTAATAACCCTTAATTTGTGTGCTTCTCTTGACTAATTAAATATCATCCTAATTATCCAAACAATCTTCTCAAAATAATAAACTTATCATTTATTATAATTTTGACATTTTAAAAATATTCAATAATTTTAAACAATTTAAATTTTAATTTATGTAAAGTTGTTAATAACTTTATATGTTATAATAATAATCGGTAAAGGATCATGAAATTGGGGGAAATATTAGATGGGTCAGACTTTTCTATATGAAATTGCCATTGGTTTCGAATTTTACGTGATATATGTAAATCTCACAAACCCATCTATTATAAGCCACAGACTTTTATATGGCTCATAAATAGAGCTCTTCTTCCTTCACCTTGTCAAGCATATACAGAGTTTGGGCTAAATTCATGTCTCATGTTAGGTGACAAGTTGGTAAAAAAGATCAAATATTCTTCTGGTATAGTAGGTAGTCTCCCCTACCTGAACCACTTGTTAAGTTTGTCTCTTCTCATATGAATAATGTGCTTTCATGCTAAAGCTTTTTTTTTTTTTTTGCTCAAATAAGGGAGGGTGGATACTGATATGATTAGTCACTATCTTCACCCTAATGTGATCAAATCCATCTTACTCCTCCAACCTCCTAACCCATAGGGTGATGATGGCATTCTTTGTTAGAGGCCATCTTCGGATGGTAACTTTTCTATAAAATCCACCTACAATACAATTGAAAATCAACAAGGTGGAAGCAATTGTGCAATTTGGTCTACAATTTGGAAATAACCAACTTATTGAAAAATGAAATATTTTTCTCTGGAATGCTGTTTGGGATCGCGTCTAGTCCAATTTTGTCAACTCTAATGACACTAACCCTTCTTTGGTCCACATCCTTCATGACTATATGAAATCTAGGGAAGTATGGTTGAAACTAATCAAAAGCTCTAAATTAAATGTTTTCTTTTCTCTTTTCTTGTGGAAATGGATCATTTGGAATGCAAAAAATGATGCAAGAGGACTAGGTAGTAGAAGAATCAAGAACCCCATGCTAGAGACTTTTTGCTCATATATGCTGGAAAATATGGAAGGAGAGATGCAAATTTGTCTACTCTGAAGCTATCCTAGTAGAGACATCATGTTCTCCTACATACAAAACGTTATCAACACTACTACAGAATATATCTTTAGGAGTGGGTATTTAGGAGCGCTTATTTAAAAAGCGCTTCAAAATGTGAATGCGGAATTTACCGGAGCGCTTTTCTAAATAAGCGCTCTTGTATGTCAGGCTTCATAATAAGATAACGCACCTAATTAATATATGTAAAATATGACAAAAAATTTAAAAATACCTTCGGGAGCGCTCATACTTAAGCGCTCCAGAAGATAGCTCTTCGGGAGCACTTGCTGAAGAGCGCTCCAGAAGAAAACCTTCCGGAGCGCTCTTCGACGAGCGCTCTGGAAGATTGATCGCTCTTCCAGAGCGCTCTACGAAGAGCGCTCCGGGAGAGCGCATCTTCCGGAGCGCTCCATAATGAGCGCTCCGGAAGAGTCTTCCCACTCTTATATCCATTTCTCTATTTAGTTTCTTTCATACCTCTCTCTCTTTTGTTGCCTCTCATTCCTTCTCTGTGTCGTGCATCTCTCTTTGTTTCTGTGCTGCATTGCCATTGTTGTCGCCGTCCTCCCCTGCGTCGCCATCGCCGCCGCCATCACCGTCCTCCCCTGCGTCGCCGTCGCCATCCATCTCCGCGTCGCCGCCGCCGTCGCTGTCCGATCTCTGCGTCGCGTCGCTGTCTGGTCTCTGCGTCACCACCGTCGCGCCGTCACTGCCTGGTCTCTGCGTCGCCGTTGCTGTGCCTCCATCTGTTCTGCTGTTCCAGATCTACATCTCTGTCCCAGATATGTATTGCTATTGCAGATCACCATCCATCTATTCTGCTGTTTGCTGTTCCAGATTTGCATCTCTGTTTCAGATCTGTATTGCTGTTGCAGATCTGTGCTGCTACTGTACACCAGAGGAAGGGATGCCGTGAAGACCTCCGTTGCTGCTGCCGTGAAGACTACACTTTGAAGGTATTTTTTTTAATAATTAATTTATATATATTTGAGAATAAATTTTAAATATTTTTTTAATAATAAATATTATAGAAAATATATGAATTGAAGTTATTTATATTAAAATTATGGAGTATTTGTAGTTGATAATTTAGATTAAAGTTGAGGAAACTACTTGAACATTTTTATTTTATTTATGAAATATACTTTTATGGGAGATTATTGTTATTAATTAAATTACAATTGATTGACAGAATTTAAATACATTATGGTACTAAATTTTTATTTGGATGAATTGATTTATTTAGTTTAGATATATTGTGTTGTGAAATTTGATTGTTTGATCATTTGAGATATTGTTCTTTTAAGGAAGATGCTGTTGAATTTTTTTTATAGAAATCTAAGTCTTTTGTTTATTGAATTTTGATAATCATATTAGTGACATGGATCGTAAGTGGATGTCGGCTAATCGACTATCTAGAGAATATTGGGATGGTGTAGATGAATTCATTAAATTTGCATTTTGTCGTGATCAAGACCCCCGTGGAGTCATATGTCCTTGTTTGAAATGTTGCTATGGAAAAAGAGTAAAGCCAATAGAATTGAAAGATCATTTAATATGTAATGGGATTGATCCAACTTATACTTGTTGGACCATGCATGGGGAGAGAAGGAATAATGCAAGTAATTGGAGGGATAGTGCGAGCTACTCAACATCGTGATAGTGGGATATATGATGTTGACCGTCTTGATGAAATGATTGATGTGATTGAAGAGGATCTTAGAGACTGTCCTGAGATGTTTGAGAGATTGAAGAGTGATGCTGATAAACCATTATACCCCGGTTGTAAAAAATTCACAAAACTATCAGTTATTTTGAAACTATACAACCTAAAAGCAGCAAATGGATAGAGCGATAAGAGTTTCACGGATTTGCTTGAACTCTTATATGAAATGTTACCTGAGTACAACGAGCTTCCACCTAATACTTACGAAGCTAAAAAAGTGCTCTGTTCTATTGGGATGAGCTATGAGAAGATACATGCATGTCCAAATGATTGTGTCCTCTTTCAGAAAGAGTATTCAACCTTAGATAAGTGTCCAAAATGTGATGCATCATGGTACAAAAGAAATGGATGTAGCCCAGCGAAGGCATTGTGGTATTTTCCAATCATACCAAGATTTAGACGCCTATATAGCATTGCAGAAGATGCTAAACACTTAACATGGCATGCTGATGAGAGAATTAAGGATGCAAGCTATGGCACCCTGCAGATTCTCCTCAATAGAAAAAGTTTGATCTTATATACCCTGAGTTTGGGGTTGAAGATAGAAACTTACGCCTTGCACTAGCCACTGACGGAATGAACCCACATGGCATGCAAAGTAGTACTCATAGTACATGGCCGGTTATTTTGATGATCTACAATCTCGCTCTAGCATTGTGCATGAAGCGCAAATTTATGATGCTGTCATTGTTGATTTCTGGGCCTCGACAACCAGGAAATGATATAGATGTGTACTTAGCTCCTCTGATTGAAGATCTGAAGATTTTATGGGAGACAGGTGTGGAAGTTTATGATGGGTATAGAGAAGAACATTTCATCCTACGAGCAATGTTGTTTGGCACCATAAATGACTTTCCTGCCTATGGCAATTTATTAGGATACAGTATCAAAGGACGAGATGCATGTCCAGTATGTGAGGAGCACACATGTTCAGTGCGGTTGGAACATTGTAGGAAGAATGTCTTTATTGGTCATCGACGATTTTTGCCGCAAACACATCATTACTGACGACTGAAGAAGGCCTTTAATGGCCACCCGGAGAAGGGTAAGTTCCCATGCCATTAACTGGTGAGCAGCTTTTTGAAAAGGTCAAAGATTTAAATATTGAATTTGGAAAACCATTTGCAAGTAAGATTGTTAAGAATGGTTGGAAAAAGAAGTCCATATTCTTTGAGCTACCATACTGGAAGACCCTAGATGTTAGGCATTTCCTGGATGCAATGCACATCGAAAAGAATGTCTGCGATAGTCTTGTTGGCACATTACTCCACATTTCAGGAAAGAGTAAAGACGGAATTAATGCAAGGATGGATTTGATTAGCATGGGGTTAAGAGAAGAGTTGGCACCAGAGAGGAAGGGAAAACGCACTTTTTTACCTCCAGCAGCTCACACCTTGTCTAGAAAGGAAAAATTAGCTTTCTGTGAATTCTTGCATGAAGTTAAAGTGCCAGAAGGATATTCTTCAAATGTAAGTAGCCTCGTATCCATGAAAGACCTCAAACTAGTAGGTCTCAAGACTCATGATTGTCATGTCATCATGGAAAATTTATTGCCGGTTGGTATACGATCCATTTTGCCGAAGAAGGTGCGAGCCACAATTACTAGATTTTGTTTCTTCTTTAAGGCAATTTGTAGCAAGGTGATTGACCCAAAAATTGCCAAAGCTAGAACATGAAATAGCTAAGATTTTAAGCGAGCTGGAAATGTATTTTCCGCCTTCGTTCTTCGACATCATGGTTCATTTATCATTTCACTTAGTTAGAGAGATAAAGTTGTGTGGCCTCGCTTATTTGAGATGGATGTACCCAGTAGAGCGTTACTTGAAAGTATTAAAAGGATATGTAAAAAATCGAAGTCGGCCCGAGGGGTGTATTGTTGAGAGGTACATCATGGAAGAAGCAGTTGAATTATGTACTGGATATCTCTCTAATGTGGATGCCATTGGGTTGCCAAAGTACACAAAAGACACCACAGGTGAACAAGGTGGAATCATTGGGAAGAAACTCATTAGCATAGACAAGACACAATGGAGCAAGTTCACTTGTATGTTTTACACAACACTGAGGAAGTTCAACCATATATCAACGAACACAAGGCAATAGTTAAGAGTCAGAATAAAGGTAAAAATGAAACATGGCTAGCAACATATCACAACCGGCACTTTATATATTGGTTTAGATCTCGCATCTCTGAGGAGTCTCACCCATCAGAAAGGTTGAGGTTTTTGGCTAGGGGTCCTGGATTTGAAGTATTTTCTTATACAGGTTATGTAATTAATGACTTTACATTTTATACGAAAAGTCAAGATGCTCGGAGCACTATGCAGAATAGTGGTGTAACGCTTAAAGCTCAATCAATGCATGTCTCTAGTTTTAAAGACAAGAATCCAATCTATGCAATGATGTCATATTTTGGGATTATAGAGCACATTTGGAATTGGATTATATCAAGTTTCGCGAACCTGTCTTTTGTTGCACGTGGGTTGACAATAAAAACGGCTTTCGAATTGACGAGTTAGGTTTTATTCAAGTAGATCTTAATAAGGTGGCTCATAAAGATGAACCATTCATTTTGGCATCACAAGCTCGACAAGTGTTTTATGTGTCAATCCAGCGCATAAAAATTGGTCGATTGTTCTTTTAACAAATAAAATAGTGGGTAATGAGGAGGATGAAGATTTCAATGTTGAGGATGACCCTTTCATGGGAACATCACGGACATTTGATGTTTCAACTGGGGATAATGCCTTCTATATTAGAGAAGATCACGGAAGGGATTTGGATTGATGAGGGATATGTAGAACACACAAAAGAAAAAACAAAAAAAAAAAGAAAAAATAAATTTTAACACTTGTAAGTTCTTTATTTAAATTTCCTTTTAATTGTTAAAAATTTATTTTAGTTGTTAAATTTTTTTTTGTTGTTAAAAATTTACATTTTTCCTTTCAGGTATATGGCTACCCCACCTGAGAACAGTGGTGATGCTCCACCCACTGAAGAAGAAGCATTCAAGGAGGTTAAACGGGGTAAAACTGTTATGAAAGCAGTAATACGGGCTCGAGCAGCTGGTCGTAAATTACCAGTAAATTGGAATGATAGGGGCCAATTAGTTAAGTCTCCTCAGTTGGCCAGTTACATAGGGGTCTTAGCTCGTCATTATGTTCCCTGTTGCATTGCAGACTGGAGAAAGAAAAATGACCCACAGCTTGAAGAAGCAAAAAATAATATATGGGAAGATTTGTGTATATCTTTTGACCTGGATGAGAGTCATAGGCATTATATCATGAGAAAAGCAGCATATGCTCATAGAAAGTTTCGAGCTACCCTCACAACATATCATCTAAAAGATGCAAATGAAGAATTCAATCCTCATCCTCCTAAAATGTATCCAGAGATCCAGCAAGAGCATTGGGATGAATTTATTAAAATGCGCCAACAGCCTGAATTTCAACAGATCAGCCAGGTCAATCGCTCTAGAGCCGCAAGTACTCCTTTTCAATATAGAGCAGGAAGAAAGAGCTATCCAGATATTGAACATAGTTTGGTGAGTTTCAATTAATATCGTCTGTTGATATTACTTATATATATATATATATATAAGGAAATTTTTTTAATTATTCTAATATCTTCTTTAAATAGAGGGAAGAAGTTGGACCTAATGCTCCAATTTCTCGAGCTCTTGTTTGGAAGACTGCTCGAGAAGATAAAGAAGGCAAATTACCTGATGAACGCACTCGAAAAGTCTGGGAGGATTGTGTGAGTATTAATATTTTAGTGTATTACTTTATTTACATTATTTACTTAATAATTAGTTTACAATTTGTTCAACAGGAAGCATTATCACAATCAATATCACAAGATGATGTGGGGGAGCATGTGGATGTCCTTGGTAGGGCATTGGGAGCTCCAGAGGTCTCTGGTCGTGTTAGAGGAGTTGGATTTGGCATTTCTCAGGGCACCTACTTTGGACGTCGGTCTAAAATTTTTACTGAAGATGATTTTAATGCAAGGATGGCAGAAATGGAGGCGAGAATGGAAAAAAAATTTCAAGCTCAAATGGAAAAGAGATTTGAGCAAATGATTGGAGTTATAAATATGCCACAAGGTAGCCCCAGTGATAAAGATAGTTGCTCCTTCCATACTAAAGAAGACTTTCCTAAGGTTATAATTTTTCTTTCTATTATCTTCTCTTTATTCACAAATTATGTTTCACATTTTTTTAAGATATTAATTTTTAATTTTTAGGGCGAGTCTCAATGTCAATTATGGTTAGAATCACCACATTGTCGTGTTGTGGCAATCGGATCTGTGTATAATGATAATAGTGTTACTATACACTCCAGACCGTTGCCTGCTGATCACTTAAAGGTGACTATAACTATTCCAATAGAAAATGATGCTGAGTTGCCAGTGCAAATAGAAGATGAGGATATATTCACGATTTTTGATGCCGTTGGAACTTATGTGGCTTGGCCTTCAAAGCTCATTAAGTTACAGGTATAATAATTGATGGTTCTTTAAAATCATTCATATTTTCTTACGGCCTTACCAATCCATTTTACATCTTGTAGTCCTCAAAATTTAAAGAAGTTGTAAAGAAGCCAATCAAAGCGAAAGGAAAGCCATCGAAAGGATCTACCTCTGTGACTAAGGCAAGGAAGACCAGCACAGAATCTACTCAGTTGAAATATCCTCATCAAAATGCACTTGAAATGATTATGCAGACAACATTGAAAAATGAGATCCGTGAAGTAGAATTTGAAAAGGAGATTTATGGTGAAATAATTAGCGAAAAATTAGCAGCTGAAAATATTAACGAGATTCTGACCAAGGATTGGCTACAAACAACACAAATTAGTTTATACATCAGGTACTTTCTCAATTTTATTACTTATTGTGGTATTTATTTAATTTTAGTTGTGAATGATTCTATTTTTTTTCATTTTAGGTACTTATATCATACTTTTGTAGTGCCAGGCTCATTGATAACAAAATTTTCATTTATTAGCCCGCACAACACTAGTACCTACAGTGTTGAGTACCATTCTCAAAAGATTACTGATGCATTCAAATCAAAGGCAAAAGAAACATGTTATTTTTAGCTCCTCACAATCCAGGGTAAATTGTTATTATTGTTTATTTTTAACTTTAGTTGATATTTTAGTTAATGAACTATTTTATTTTTTCAGGCAACATTGGGTGCTTGTTTGTATCAATCCATTCGTCCCTGTGATTTATTATCTTGATTCATTAAGAGATAGTGACTTTAGAACTACAAATCTATGAGGATATTATTTAATCAGTAAGTTTTTAGTTCTATATTCTTTATATATGTTTATTATAATAATTAATTTTTACTTGGTATGCTTAATCATTATATAATAGGGCTGTAGCACGTTATGAGGAGGTGAAGGTCTCCCTCCAAACACCGAAAGACCTGATCCTGTTGAGTTTTATTCTTGGAAAAGAATAAAGGTTTGTATTATTTTCTTAATAAAACAAGTTGGTACATATCTAAATGATTGTTTGATTGATATTTTATGTTTGTTATTCTGAATATATTGTTCTGGATTGATGTAGAATTTTTGGAAAATTCTGAAACTTCCAAGTTATAGGGGAGACTCTGCCGGATTTTCGACAGCAAATACTTGTATCATATATATAACTTCATCACTGAAGTATTTTAAATTAAGTTAGAATTTATTTCTACCATATAAATGACATCTTTTATTGTTTTATAGGTACCTACACAATTACAAGGTTGGGAGTGTGGATACTATGTTATAAAGTTTATGAGAGAAGTAATCACACAACAAGAGTTGATCATTCCTGAAAATGTAAGTCAAAAGCTTTGAAATTAAGTTAATATAATGTTAATTACTTATATATTGCTTTCATATCTTGTGTAGTATTTTGTTGGAGCAAGATATTCGCATTTTACTATGGAGCAAATAGAAGATTTAGTTGAAGAATGGTCAAAATATATTATTGGCTATTTGTGATAGGAAGTTAGATTTCAATGTTAAAAAAATAACAATAGTTTTATTTGTTAGGCTTGTTAGAAATTAAACTAGGTTAGTTGGAAAATTGAAATTGTTGTATCAGTTTAAAATTTTTTTCTTGTATATAAAATTTTTATGTTGATATTATTTTTAAATTAGTTTTTGATATTATGATTTGCCATTATTAAAGATATTTAAAAGGAGAAATTTGAAAAATTTAATTTAAAAAAAATAAATATAATATACGGGAGCGCTCATTTGAAGAGCATTCCTGTAAAGAAACTTACGGGAGCGCTCTTTTAAAGAGCGCTCCGGTAAGTTGTTATCATATGGGAGCACTCCTATAAAGAGCGTTCCCGTATAGGGAATACAGGAGCGCTCTTTACAAGAGCGCTCCGGTAAGGTTAGCATACGGGAGCGCTCCTATAGAGAGCGCTCCGGTATGCATCATACAGGAGCGCTCTTACATAAAGCACTCCCGTACATGACGTGTACTCTAGCGCTATTACGGGAGCGCTTTTCTAAAAGCGCTCCTGTATCGCTTACATACAGGAGCGCTTAAAAAAAGCGCTCCTGTAAATTTCGGAGCGCTTGATACGGGAGCGCTTCAAAAGCGCTCCCTAAGGTCAAAAAAAAGCGCTCCTGTAAGCTTATTTTATAGTAGTGCAATAACCTCATTCTTCAATCAAAATCTAACATCTAGTCTTCGAACCATGATAAAGCTTAAGGAAAATGGAACCCACCTAGATATTGATGGCTCGGTAGACATCAATGGCTCTATCACCTATCAAGGGCTCATTTATGATGTTCAAGGAAATTAGATTGAGGTTTTCCTAGATACTTGGTTACTACCTCAATGACAAGGATGATTGCTCACCTCTCAAAATAATGCTAAGCTAACCCTAATGTAGCAAAAGGCTAACCTAGGTCATCTTTGAATGGAAGTGTTCATTAGTTCAATTAAAGAAATTTCTTGAGTGAAGTAGGTTAAATTTCAAATGCTTAGGGTTCAAATTGATCATTAAAGCTAATGAAATAAGGAAACACTACTACAGAAAAAACTTATGGGAGTGCCCTTTTAAGGGTGCTTAAAAGAAAAATGCTCTTGAAAGTGAAGGCAAAACTTACAAGAGTGCTTTCAAGTAAAAGCACTCTTGTATGTCTAACTTTTAGGAGTGCTTCTAAAAAAGTGCTTTGGAAATGTTGTCATTTAAAAAAATGAAATTAAAACACTAAGTCTTCTAGAGCGCTTTTCAAAAGAGCACTCCGAAAGGTGATACGTCGTTACATTAGCCTATTGGAGTGCTTTCTACTATAAGTGCTCTGGAAGATATATGATTATATATTTTTATTATAATTTAAAAGTATACTAATCGATTCAAAATATAATTTATTGTTTATAATCGTATTTGATTTATTATACTTACATTAATTATTTAATTTATCATTTATAATATATTTTTTTGTTACTATTTAAAATTAGTTGTATCAAATTTTTATTAAAATAATTTAGTAGCTTTCTAAAGCGCTTTCTGATCTAAGCACTCCAAAAGACCAGGGATACTGGAGCACTTAATTGAGAAGCACATTAGTGGCTTTCATTTTTTTAAAAAATATTTTTGTCTTTTTTAAATCATATCTTGCATCATGCCCCTCAATAGACTTAAGAGCGTTAAAGTTGTGACCCACCTCCTTCCATTAGATCTGTCGTTCTAAGTTGGAAGTTGTTTTCCATCACTTGCTTCAACTCCCTCCGCTGTAGATCACATTTGCTATCATTCTTCTTTACGTTTGATTGCTGTTCACCTTTATTGTGATGATTCTAGATCGCAATTCTATTCAGGTTCCCAACTATGTTGATTCAAATTCCAATTGGCCATTGATGTTACGATTCTGATCATGAGTGCGATTCCATAAACAAACCTGATTCCAATTTGTAAGCTCTTTCGTCACCTCCTTTTCTATGTTTGCTCAAGCTCGTTGTCATTCCAGATCTACTGTTTGAAGTTCCAAATCTGTGGAAGCTTGACTACTTCATTAATTTTCCTTTCATCTGTAATTCCACCGATCCTCCTCCTTTGTGGCTTTAAGGGCTCCCTCTTTTTTGCTTCTTTATTTGTTTTCTTTTCCTATTTTGGCCTCTTTAGTTTTTTAGTTTTGTCTCTTATTGTGCAATAAAATAGCCAAATAGCAATGAACATTGTAACATCTTGAATTTTAGTCTAAGAAAACTAGTTGCTAATTAGAGGTAAATTTATAATTAGTAAATTGATTATGGTTTTGGGTGATGAATTGATGTTTAGTATTGTTTGGCTAATATGTTAATAAGAATGAATGGTGGAATGGCAAATTGGGATGAAACGCGCGAGCAACAGTGAGAATTATCTCATTGTGAAAGTGAATTTTCTCATAAACAGCGCATGTAGCACATACCATGGTGTATGGCATAGATTTTGCTTAAAGTTGACATGCTCAACTCATGAACATCTGAAGAGAAAGTGAGAAAAACATAGTTGAGAGGGAGAAAAGAGCTCATCTCTGCTACGGCATCATTTTTCAAGAGTTTGGGAGCTTGTTTTGGCCAGTGACTTATCAGGGTAAGTTTCGTACCACCCTGTACTACATTTCTAGCCTAAATTCTTTGATTTTTCTTAGTAAAGAAATTGAATCAATAAGTTTTAATGAATTAAAATTTAAGGAAAAGATTTAAAAAGGGGTCTCCAGTGTGAAACTAGGGTTTTATGGCTAGTCTAAAATTTAATAGTTGAACATTAAGGATAAAGGCTTAAATTAACCTAAGTTATTAGATTAAAAATGGAAAAGTTGATAAGTAAATGAGAAAGAGGAATGTCTTAGTCATTTGGGTAGTCGGAAGGGCAAATGACTATAGAAAATAAGTTGCATGAACTCAAAAAGTGTTAGTTGAACTGTTTCATGTGTTAAGGGATTTGAATTAGCCAAATTAATACCTTGTGTGAATGTTAGAAATTAAGTAAAGGATATTTGTTGTGTAGATTGAGCATCTGAGGATTTCTTGTGAAAGATGAAAAAAATTGAGAAGTTCAACAAGAACGATAACCTTTGTTAATAAGGGCAAAAGGTAATTAGACTAACCATTTTATTTATTAGTTTGTTAAATGATTTATAAGTATTTTATATGAACTATATACATTGTGTGTTATGAACTAATGAAGTAGCAGTATTGCAAAAGAACTATGCATGTAGGTGTGTAAGTGATGTTTGAAATGTATGCGAAGAGGCATGTGTATTT